AGCGGAGCAGCGTTTCAGCTGATGCTGATTCCCAGTGGAGCTCGTCGCCTTTAGAATATACTAGGAAAAACAACGGCAGACTGTCTGATTCTCTACCCAACTACTTCTTCTCCAGCCACGGTGCAGGTTTTCTGCTCCAGTCTGTCTTTAATCTACGCACTGAGCGGCTGGCTGTAGATTATCTGCGACTCTTTTTGGAATAAAAATCTTTTCCCACTTCGAATTACAAACTATCTGTGACGAAGGCTGAGCTCTAACAAATGACTTATGCATGGAAAAACAAATTAATATCTAGGACAAAAACTGCATCTGATGACGTTCCAGACTTGCTTTGCCCACTGAGACGTTTCTGAATATTTCATATGCTTCATATGTTTTGTTTATGTATTTAATATGTAGGCTAGTGCACGACTTCTAAAAGTTGATCAGGATGGAAGAGAAGGTGTGGGTTTGACCTAAACGAGGCGTCCTTACTTCATTTCGGCCCCAGTAGTTTGAGTAGTTTATTATTCTGGTAGCTTAGTTTAATGGAACTGTTTTTGGATTTAAACGCTTATAAATTAGGCTCTAAATGTCTCAGTGCGGGTTAAGTAAGTATCTGAGCTCGACTGACAGAATTCAGATAGAAAAGCGTCTTTTATTCGGTATTTCTATTAATATCAGTGCGTAAGTCTGAGTAAAGTTGTCACTGACTGAATCGTTGTTTCAGCTGAAATATTTTCAGGTGGGCTCGTTTTCACTAATAGGTCTACAAGTTTTTTTTTTTTTTCATTGGCTTTTAAAAGAAAAAAATAAACAAATAAATAACACTGTCAGTCCATAACAACGCACCAATCACTCACCAGTGACGCTTGCTAGGGTGAAAAAGAGCGACACCTGCTGGTAGCACCGCGCGTCCCCAATACGTCACTGCCCAGTGACGGCTGCTTTTTCTTTCTTTTTCTTTTAAGCGTCCAGATCCGAAAACGCCACAGACGGACACACGGCCAGTCCAGTTAACCCGGCCCGGACTACTGTAGAAAAGGAAAAGCCAAAATGGAAAACGACAACGGCTAAACGAGTCCGAGGGGGTCGGTTTGGCGCTCTGCTCGATCAATCTTTGGCTCCACTGAAACCGTCTTTCATCTCGACTCCAGTGCACAAACATATAGCTTAATGCGACCAGTGTTCCCCTCTTTTATTCCACTCACCATGGCAACCCCAGCGCGCGCTTCAGAAATGCTTGGCCGTCAATGAAGCGAGCGGTCTTGTTGGGAGGGGGCGAGATGGCATCTTCACAGAAAAACTCTCCAAAACTTCACAATCACTGGAAATAGGTTCGGTCTGATGTATACACTCAGACAGACCTGCATTCGGCATAAAGGAACATGTAATCTGATATATATATATATATATATATATATATATTTATATATTTATATATATTTATTTATTACTATACTATTATTATTTTATCCAAGGACGTCTTTAGAGGTCTAAAACAAATGCATTTATTATTTTTCCAAATATATATAATTTTTCATAAATATATGTATGTATATATATATATATATATATATATATATATATAGTACATTATATATACACACACACTATATATATATGAATGTATGTATATATATGTATATATATATATAGCGGTTGGCACTAAGGACGCGGAGCAGTGAGCAGTGAGCAGGCGAGTCCTCTCCTCTCCCAGCGCCGCTCCTCCTGCTCGCTGGTGCTCATCGTCTTATTTACGTCTGAGGATCCTCACATTCAGGCTACGCTCCTCAGCGCAGCGGCAGTACAGTCACTCAGAGTTTCCTCAAACTTTTCGCTCAGAAGAGAGCGGATCGATTTATGTAAACGACCTGGTATCCACTCGTTCGCGACTCCTGCTCGAATCCCGCCGAGGCTCTGCTGTTTAAATTTGATTGATTGCACTCTCGCCATTGGACATTCACTACAAACCCGAGCAGCTTAACCGTCTGCTCGCTATTTATAAAGCTAAAAAGGCAACACAAAAGCCCTATTGATTGTCTCATAGGTTAAAGCTCACAGAGCATATATATATATATATATATATATATATATATATATATATATATATATGATACTGCTCCCGTAATCCTGTACAAATCTGCCTCCATGTAACGTATGAGGGCTACTAGAGGGTCAAAGGACAGAACGTCCGTCACTTACCGCGAGGATCCCAGCTACTCAACCAAAAAAAGGAAAAAAAATGTCTCAAATGTAGTTTTGCGTCTCCCTCCGATCTGGTCCTTCCTAAGATTTTCTTCCCTCTGACTCAACTGAGCGGAGCTCTCCTCGGCACCGCTATTATTTTCACTAAAATATATGAAAATTTATGCAAATGAAAATCAGCACTAACTGTTCGTCTCTTGTTATACTTGGGGATTTTTTTTTTCCTTTCCCCCTCTCTTACTCGCGCTGAAAACAAACGATAGCTATCCCCAGCAGGGAAGGGGGACCTTGTTACATTAAAAAAAAAGAAAGAAAAAGAAAAAAAAAACAAATAAATAATAAACACCCCGCTTTTCAAAAGAAAAAGTGAAAACTTAAAAGTTGAAGGCGTGAACGTTTTTGGAAATGGCTTTGGCTCTTTTTGAGCGCGCGTGCACGCGCTCGCTCTCTCTCTCTCTCTCTCTCTCTCTCTCTCTCTCTCTCTCTCTCTCTCTCTCCTCGCTCGTGCCCGCGTACCTCGTGGCCGCGCAAGACGTGCTTTGGAAGCGAGCGGGAATTTACACCCCCCCGCCCCCCACCACCTTAAAAAAAAGAGAAGCGCTGTATGTTAATGAACACACACGGCCCCATGGCGGCGGCCCTTACTCAATGTAAACAAATCCACGAGGTTCCCTGTTTTTGAGCCTGATCCAAATTCAGTCTACTGGGGGAAAGTGTTTGGGGGGGGGGCGGTGACGGGGACGCGCATTTACTCTCTCCCCAAAATCACTGTCTCTCTCTCTCTCTCTCTCTCTGAAGTGAACCTGGGGTAAAACCATCCGCTGGAACCGCAGGTTTCGGTGTAAAATTAGCGATAGCAGCAGAACGGATAGCCTCGTTTTAACACAACGATAGCAAGCAAGTTAACGAGCAAGCTAATCGCTAGAAGCTCGGGTTTGACCTCTCTCTCTCTCCCTCTCTCACTCACTCTCTCCCTCTCTCTCTCACTCACTCTCCCTCTCTCACTCTCACAATCTCTCTCTCTGCGCGGCTGAGCTCTCGAGAAAACGTGCCAGCTCGAAATTCGTCTCTGACATGCTTCTTATAGCCCCCGGATGGATCCATATGCTTCAGGGCTCCAGCGAAGAGGCACGTGCGCGACTTGAAAAACGAACGCGACTACGTAGCCCGCCGTTCTTCTGCTCACGTTGCTCAAATTAGGAGACGTAGGTTTTATTTTTTTTTTCGCGAATCCCCCAGGGACCACTCAGTTTGCCCTCGATTTGGTTGCCACTTTCACTCTTGCCCCGCTTCAGTGGGGTTGCCTGCGCGCGCCCCGTTTCCGCTCGGAAGCATCTCGCGCCTGTCTCGCGTTAACTCTTCAACGGCTGATGCGCGAGCAAGTGCTTCTGGAGCGCAAACCTGCGATAAAACAACTGGAATGAAATGAAATGAAATGAAATGAAATGAAATGAAATGCGCGCGCAACACTTTTAAATCTCTCGGTGGGCCCAAACTTTTACATTCAGCGCAGCGTTGTTTCTATACTACAGAGACCTGGGGGTGATATTCCATATAAATAAAAATAATGCGTGGCCACGCCTTATTAACGCGTGGAAACGAGATCCTAATGCATATCAACAACTTAGTAAGGCATGGGAATGGGATAATTAAGTCATGGACACGACTTAGTAAGTTATGGGAATGAGATCCTAACGCATGGCCACAACCTAGTAAGGCGTGGGAACGAGATCCTAATGCGTGGCCACGACTTAGTAAGGCATGATCTCGCTCCCACACCTTACTAAGTTGTGGCCATGACTTAATTATCTCATTCCCACGCCTTACTAAGTTGTTGCCAGGCATCAGGATATCGTTTCCAAGCGTTAATAAGGCGTGGCCACACATTATTTTTATTTATACGAAATGTCACCAGCAGGGCTCCTTAGTGTAAAGGCCTGTATCTGGAAAACCAGCATTTTTAATGAATGAGTTTGATGCATTATGTGAAGTTTCAACATGTACGTCCATTACAAACACCTGTATTTTCACTTCATTAAAAATGTGTAGCCCCGCCCACTCACGCTGAAGTTATAAATACTATTCCAGTTCCAGAGGGCATTCTGAATGAGCCATAATACTAGGCAGCCAATCAGAAAACAGGCCATTTGCATGCATCAGTCTTAAAGGCACAGTCTGTTTAATAGTGCAGGATAAAGGGAAGATTATTTTTGGTAAGTAAAAACAAAATTATCGTAAGTGGACATGGAAAAAAGTGAGACACGGGCTCTTTAACTCCTATCAGCTGATCATCAGTATAATTCCAACCTCAGCCTCCTGCCTCCTATGAGAATTCCAGTTGTTTCCAGCATTTCCAGCACATTCCAGCACTGCTGTATGAAATATGTGGGCTACCACAGGACTGTAAACGGGCGAGCATATCTAGTTTGATGCGCGTGATGTTTTTCTTCTTTTTTTATTTTTTTAAGCGCTCATTTATGTGTCTTGGTTTATTTATTTGAATTCAAACGCAGCCAATTGGAATGGCCGGAAGGGGGAGGGGGCGGGGCCTAGGCGCCTGAAGCGGGCTTCCCTCGACCTGTCAATCTTTCCTCGGTCGTCCAATTGGGGGGAGGCGTGCGCTCTACTTCCCCGTATTTTGGTGGGGGGGGCTGGAGGGAAGGGTGCGGGGGGGGCAAAGACGCGGAGGCTGAGCGCGGCGCGGGGGTAAACATTCGCGTGTCCGCGAGCGCTGAGGGAGGGACGGAGCGGAGCTGACTGTCAGTAGGAGAGAGAGAGAGAGAGAGAGAGGGAGAGAGAGAGAGAGAGAGAGAGCGAGAGAGAGAGAGAGAGAGAGAGAGAGAGCGAGCGAATGAGAAGGAAGGCTCGCAAACGCTGCCTCTGCGCCGTGATACTGGATTGTACTTCAGCCGGAGCGCTTTGGCAGCTTTAAACACATCAAAACAGAACAAAGAGGCAGAGCGTACCGGGCAGCAGCAGCAGCAGCGACAAAAAAAGAGAAAGAATCTGCGAAAAGAAAAGAGAGGGGAGGAAAAAAAGGGGGGGGGGACCTGAGGAAAAGGAATCTCTGCGACCAGATTACAAAAGAAACTGAGGGAGGAGAAGCACATTTTGATATTTTCGCCACTCGCTTGTTTGGACGGTGTGTTATTGTTATTGTTTTTTTTTTCAAGGCGTTCTGCCGTCTGAAGTTTATCGAGGCTGCGAAGTTGTTTTTATTTTCAACGCCTTCTTTTTTTTTTTAAATATTTTTTCTTCTTCTTTTTTCCAAGAAACTGCAAAAGCGTGGAGGACTGTTGATGAGGGCTTTCCGACTCCCCACCTAAAATAAATAGGAATTATGCTTCGAGCCGGTTCATATGTCTGAGGCATGTGAATGTTCAGGTTGCACAGTAGAGTCCACGGATTTTTTAAAGCGTTATTATTATTATTGTATGTTGTTTCGTTTCCGTCTCTGTGCACCTCGCATTTCTGCTGGCTGCTTTTATTTTCTCGAGGCACTTTCGTTGTCAGACTTTTAAAGTTTTGAATAATTCATGAGATTACAGTTTTGCCTGCGTTGAAGAAGTGAAGAAGGAAGAAGAGGAGGGGAAAAGGAGAGGAAAAAAAGTTTGTCCGAAAAAAAGAAAGAGAAAAAAAAGAACAGAAGATAGGGAGGGAGGGGGGAGCTTGACCGACAGCCCGTTGCTGAAGATCAGCGGAATGGCCACGGCGGCTTCCAATCCGTACCTGCCCAGCAGCAGCATCCTGTCGTCGGGCTCCATCGTGCACTCGGACTCGGGCGGCGGCATGCAGGCGGGAGGCGGCGCGGTCACGTCGGTGTCCGGCGGCTACCGAGGAGAGCCGGCGGTCAAGATGGCGCAGAGCGACTTCATGCCGGGCGCCATGGCGGCGGCGGCGGCGGCGAGCAACGGTGCGCACATGCTGAGCCACGCGCACCAGTGGGTGACGTCGCTGCCGCACGCGGCCGCCGCCGCCGCGGCAGCGGCGGTTGCTGCTGCCGAAGCCGCCTCGCCCTGGTCCACGAGCCCCGTGGGCATGGCGGGAAGCCCGCAGGGGGGCCAGCAAGGAGGCCAAGGCGGACAGGGCCAGGGCGGGCAGCAGGGCGCGCAAGGCGGCCAGCAGGACGTAAAGAGCAGCTCGGGCCGGGACGATCTGCACGCGGCGTCCGCGCTGCACCACCGGCACCTGGGGCCGCACCAGACGCACGCGAGCGCGTGGGGCGCCGCCACGGCCGCCGCAGCCGCCGCCGCCGCGCATATCTCGTCCATAAGCCAGCAGCAGGCGCAGCCGCAGCAGTCGCTCATCTACTCGCAGCCCGGCGGCTTCACGGTGAACGGCATGCTGAGCGCGCCGGGCGCCCAGAGCCTCGTGCACGCGGGGCTCGTGCGCGGGGACACGCCGGAGCTGGAGCACCCCGGCCACCCGCACCACCCGCACCACGCGCACCACCACCATCACCACCACCATCACCAGCAGCAGCAGCAGCAACAGCAGCAGCAGCACCACCACCAAGCGCCGCCGCCGCCGCCACACCACCACACGCACCACCCGGCCAGCCACCACGGCCACGAGGCGCACTCAGACGAGGACACGCCGACCTCGGACGACCTCGAGCACTTCGCCAAGCAGTTCAAGCAGCGGCGCATCAAGCTGGGCTTCACGCAGGCCGACGTAGGCCTGGCGCTCGGCACGCTCTACGGCAACGTCTTCTCGCAGACCACCATCTGCCGCTTCGAGGCGCTCCAGCTCAGCTTCAAGAACATGTGCAAGCTCAAGCCGCTGCTCAACAAATGGCTCGAGGAGGCCGACTCGTCCACGGGCAGCCCCACGAGCATCGACAAGATCGCGGCGCAGGGCCGCAAGCGCAAGAAGCGCACCAGCATCGAGGTGAGCGTGAAGGGCGCGCTGGAGAGCCACTTCCTCAAGTGCCCCAAGCCCTCGGCCCAGGAGATCACCACGCTGGCCGACAACCTGCAGCTGGAGAAGGAGGTGGTGCGCGTGTGGTTTTGCAACCGGCGGCAGAAGGAGAAACGGATGACGCCGCCCGGAGTGCCGCAGACGCCGGAGGAGGTGTACTCTCAGGTCGGCAATGTGAGTGCAGACACACCGCCCCCCTCCATGGACTGCAAACGAATGTTCACAGAGACGTAGAGCAGCGTAAAAGACTAAAGAAACAAGCAAGCGAGCAAACAAACAAACAAACAAACAAACAAACAAACCCCTATTTTATATAAGAATAATCACACAGACTATCACGCGAGATAGCCAAACCATTTTGATACTGTGATTGTGAGGGAATATGAATGAGACTGCAGATGTGTTATATATTTTTCACCAGAGAGAAAAAACAAAACAGAAAAGAAAACATTGCACCCCCCCTTTTTCTTCCTAAACCCCCACCCCACCCCAAAACCGCCCGCTTTAAAAAAACAAACCTTCTTGAAGGCCCCCGTCCAATGTCTTAACCTAAAAGGTTGTGTCTGCTTTTTCTTTCAGGGACATTTTTTAGTAGATTACTTAAAAGATGCAAGTTTATGTGGGCCGAGCGAGCCGGGCGACCAGAGGGTGACAGCTACAAGTTCGTTCCATCAGGTAATTCTGGCGCATTGACTTCAACTGGGAAAATGAAACCAAGCATTTAGAAACCTTTACCCCCCCCTACCACCACCACCACGAGCAGCACCACCAACAGCACCACCACCACTGCTACTACTACTCCCTCCACCCCCTACCCCCACTGCTACCCCTGTACATGTCCTGTTTTCGAGAGGCAATTTGTATGTGTCGAGATGGGACGTTAACCCCCCCATCACTACCACGACCACCACTACTACCACCACCAACAACAACAGCAACACGAAAAATGGGGGTTGAAATTGAAATTCAGCCCCAGGAACAGTGACAACAGTGGCTTCCAACTTCCATTTTTGCAGAGAAGACTGCATTGGTTCTGTTTTTGTTTATGTTTTTTTGTTTTTTTTGGACAACAAACAAACCACGGAATGGATTTTTTTCCTTGCCTTCCAGCCCGAACATGAACACAAAAAAAACATAAAAAAGAACCTGGTCTCTAAGATCATTTTTATGTAAAGGACTGATGGATTTTTTGGAAGAAAAATTGAAAGACGTTTGAAAAAAAAGTGACAATTCCTCAGCTGCACTTACAGAGGGGGCCAGAGCTGTGGATCTGCCCCCCCCCGACCATCACCACCACCACCACCACCACCTGCCCCCCCCCACCCTTCTTCTCCCATGCTGCCATTTCCAAGCAGTATTCTTTTTGGTAGGTTTTCATAAACGAGACTATGTAAAGCCGGCAATATATAGAATTCATTAGATCAGATGCTGATCGGAATTATTTACTTTATATTTTTCATTAAAATGCTTTGTTTTTAATATTTTATTCGGGATACGTATGGACTATTCCAAACAGTAATTTATTTCTCCTCCTTCCCCCCCAAGACTTGTGTAAAATGTTCTCTACCTTGATTTTTATTTTATTTTGTTCCTCTTTCGTTGTTGAATTTGAATTTTCTTCGTTTTTGTTTTTTCTTTTTCTTTTTTTTTTGTATTATCGTTTTTTGAAGGAGCACAAATCAATATGAGCTGACTTTGGCAGTAGGTAACAAGGGTATTTTGATGTGATGATTTGATTGTAATTTAATTTCCAGTAGTGATTCCGTACGAGATGACTGAGAACAATAAATTTGTTAGAATGAAACGTGACGCTTGTGTGTTTTAGAGCGCGTGGCTTTATGCACGAGTGGAAATTGTGGGGCAAAAAAATAATGCATTTGAAATGTGTTTTGTTGCCGATCGCTGTCAGACATATTCTTAACCCTGTTTATTATAGTATATGATGCGTTTCTGCGTTTCGACAAAGAGAATATTATGTTCATATTTATTGTGTTTATGAAAACGCATGTGGGCCTCCTGTGCTGGGCTCGACGTCTGGACTGGACCTTCTCTCTCTTTTCAGTAATGCAGTGACCGTTGCGAATCCACAGCACGAGCTTTTCTTCCTTTTATTCGAGGCTGTCTAATCTGGGCCGCGCGCTGACCATTCAGTGGGCCTGAAATCCCGCGAGGGAGAGCCTGGAGGTTGTTTGCAGCTGGCTAGCTCATATCACGCTCGTTTCTTTGGGCCACCTTGCACCTGAGTCATGATTTCTGCTTTTCTGTGACAGCTGTCAAAGCCGAACGCACGCGGCGGCTATGGGGACGAGGTGTAGTGCAAGCAGGCATTTGCTGTTGCACGACTCGGAGAGCACCGAGCAAAATAGTGCAGCAGGATAGTAAAACTGGGCTTTTTCCTCAGTGTATGACAAAATGCATAAACCTGGGTGCTTTATGTGTATCTCTCTCTCTCTCTCTCTCTCTCTCTCTCTTTTGTGGGGAAAAAGACATGCCTGCTGCACAACAACAAAAAAAAGTGAACGCGCTGCTAGTGCACGCGTTAGAAGAAAAGCAGATATTAGCGCGTGCTCTGAGAAGTTGGGAAAGTTTTTAGCCTCGTGCTGGAGTGCTGTTTAGGACACTTCGAGTCATGTGACACCCTTTACTTAGCCTTTTTATCTCACGATTGTTCCTTGAAACTATAGCGGCTTTGCGTAACCAATGGCAACGTAAATGCGCTACTTTTGCGTCAAAAGTGCAATTATAAAATAAGTAAATAAATAAATAAATAGCCACATTTACAATGAATTGAACAGCTGAAATGTTTTCATGTGTGTTGGATTTTTGAGTGTCCTAAAGAATAATATATAAAAAAAAAGTAAATATGTAATAATTCTATGATTGTGAATTTCTGTGAAGCGTCCAAACAAATGCAACCAGCACTGTTTCCTTATTTCTTTAGATCCAGGTCCAAGTTAGCTTGCAATAACGCCCAAACCAAATTGTCTTAGCTGTTGGGGAACATCTTATCTCGTGGTTATTGCTGGCAGCAATTTTAGCAGTTTTAGCCGATCTTAAATCGTGGGAGTGAATTATGTGAATCCAGGGCCTGAATAACAGTGTCGGCCAGGCTTTTGTAAAGAAAATAATAATAATAATAGTTAAAAGAAAACTGAGTTGTGCGAAATTGCTTAGCCCTCCACTCTTTTTTCTGGAGGTGACTATTCAGCAGTCCCCACTGTCCAAAAATTTAAATTTCGCGGATGATTTCCCATATTCCCCTCCACGAGTTGCTAAGCAACTGAATTCAATCAATGTTATAGAAGTATGCATCCCCTCTCTTTGTCCCCAATAATAGAGGTGGCAGGCTGGCATTCACACTGATTTGGTACAACCTGAATGAAAAAGAAAAAGAAAAAGAAAAAGAAAAAGAAATTCGCCTCTGAGGAGCGAATGGGATTTATCACTGACATTCACCAAAACTGCAGCCGGAGTTCTGCAGCCACTTTTGTTCGCTGTAGCCTCACAAATGGGAAACGGGGCTGACAGAGTGACACAGTGTGGTATAGAAGAAATATTTCATATCTATTTGGTTTATTTTGCTTTGTTGGGAGGTCGTGATTTTTTTTTTCAGCGATAAAAATTTAGCGCCTTCAAGGATCAACTAAATGCTACTTAATGTAATTTGATATTCTTTATATTTCTCACCATTTCCTCACAGTAGTGGAGTATTTCTGACTGGGGGTCCAGAGCCAGAGTGTCACACTGTCACATGACTGCAACTTACGTAGGTTAACAAAACACGGTCATACATTCACTGATAAAGCAGAAACACTACCGAACCCTTCGATCTTCCCCAAGCTCGCGAGTTTGATTTGTGTAAAAGTAAAGAATAAAAGTGTGGCTATAGTGTGTATATATGTTGCTCATTCCACAGCAAGGAAAGTGAGAAGAGAAGAAAATAACAGAAAAGAAAAGAACAGAGCAGAAAAGTAGAGAAAAGAAAAAACAAAAAACAAACAAAAATGGGTTACAGACTAAAACAGCAAGCGCCGCTCTCAAAGCAGTGACGTCATTTCGGTGCCATTTGTTAAAAAACGTGTTTTCACCTAAAAACTTTTTGGTTGTGGTCGTGAGGTTACAGCTCGACGTCTCAGCGTCGTAAGCAACGCTGACGACCCCAACACTAACCCACCCTGCACGCTGCAGCTCAATTCTACAGTCCTGTCATTTTATAAAGAAAGCCTCGTGACGCCTGCAGTGAACACGAGCACCGAAATGGACTGCAAAGCCCAAATAAACAAATAAATACATAAATAAAATTAAATAATTAATAAAGTGAACGCAATTCAATAGAAAGTTATGGTTCTTGGCTCATGATGCATTCTGAGCTCGGTTTAACGCTTATTTTTAAATTATTTTACCACTCAGGCTGAGTTGTGGGATACAATGCGTAGTTTTTATCATTGTTATTATTATTATTTTATTATTATTATTATTTTAACGTCTGCTACACTCCTCAGCCTCTTCAGTCAGATCCGTTTTAACCCTCTTCTGCTGTGCACGCGGGGTTCTCTGTTGTGAAAATGAGAAGGTAGACACAAATTAGGCTTGTTAGATTCACTTCAGTGAGACTCAAACTTTAAAAAATCAGACTGGGGTTTTTTCTCACAGGGGAAAGTGCGCTTTACTTTGAAGACCCTCAAAAAAATCAGAAAATGTAATACATTTTTAAAGCAGATGTGTTAAAAAAACAAAACCTTCTGTGTCTAATTAGCCATCATCAACATTTTGGGTTACTTTTAACACAGAATGTGTCAAATTAAAACAAGCTGACACAAAATGTGTTAAAATGGGTAAGACAATTTAGTGTGTTGTTATTTAACACTTTTCGGAGTGTGTTTTGTTCTGTAGTTGGTCGTTTCTAAAGGTGAACGATGTCTCGTGCTTTTAAGTACAAAAACGTTTAGTAGTAATAAAACAGTAATAAAGTAAATATAGTAACACAAGCAGTAATAAAAGACTACAGTTGTGTACTAAAATACTGTACAACTACAATATTATTGTTAATACTATTATTGCTAATACATCTGTAATTCTAGCAGCGGGATAGGCAACAGAAATAATAATAATAATAATAATAATAATAACAACAACAACACCAGAACTACCACTACTACTACTAATAATAATAAGCCGTGCAGTGTTGTGAACGAAGCTGTGCTGCTGTGCTCCTGATGCAGGTTCGCTCCTGTGCGCGCGCCGAGCTCTCACACACGGTCCTCAGAGCTCCAGGCTCAGCGCTCAGTCTGTGCTTTTCAGGACCTCGTTCGTGCTCCCAGCAGCCCCTCGCTATGGGGACACTGTGGGGGCAGGTGCTGCTGTCCACTCCCCAGATATTAATGCCCCTCACAGCCTTTCACAAATCAAAGACCCTTAAAAAAGTGGAATAACAATCAGACACATTTACGCAGTTCAAGCAACATGACAGCCTCATATTCACATCATAGAACAGAAAATCGGATTATATCTATTTTTATTTATTGCTCTGACCTGCGCACTAACATATTAACAGCATAGTAACATATTACGGCTGCTTTATATATTTTAGCATGTTTATTTACCTATATGTATGTGTTTGTATGTAATATATGATTGTATTATTCACATATTAATTATCATAGAGGGCTTTTATTATCGAGTTATTCTGAGCTGGATAAAGACACACTGACGCCTCCAGATCCGTAATCCATTGTCCGCTGGACTACGTGGACAGAAGGTGAAAGTGCACAACTGTGCTCCTGTGTGTGTACTGCGCACGCGCGCGGGCCTTCACCTAGCCCCAGGTGAGTGAGCCGGGTGACGTAGGGCCGGCCAGGTGGAGGGTCGCTTCACTGGGGCAGATGAGAGCCGGTCAGAGTGGTCTTAGAATCCTAGAGATGAAGGCTCGTGAATATAGGGTGGAGGTAGAACTGCTTACGTCATTTTATTTAGGCTCGACTCAGACTGGGATATGCGGGGTCTAGCTGAACCGCAGATACTCTGAGGTGAAAGTTACACTGTTTAGCACAAAAACTCAGGCAGATCAAAGAAGATCTGAGCTTCAGGATCATTAAGGACGAAATCGGTCAGTGGAGGATCTGAACACGGCGCGTGACCAACTTTTGGGGTTTTTGTTGTTCTTCTGGAAAGTAATTCACGTGACCGCGCGTTTCCACACACAGGCCACATGCACGAGCTTTTGTAGCTCAGGACCTCGAAACATTTGCATTTCAAACGTTCCACATAAACAGCGAGCTCGCGCGCTGCTTCGGTTCT